GGGGGGGGGCACACAAGAGGAATAACACCACCTGCTATGATGTTGTGTTTGATGAATTGTTCAAGGTAATGGATACTGTGATTGCTTTGACTGTAGATATGTTATTTTGTGTCTGTATGTTGTCAGTGTTTGTCAGTGTGTGTTTGTTTACTTAACTCAGGAAGACGACGTCAATCACTTACAGTCTATTCACGCCTACACAGTCCTGAGATGAGGTCTTATTTGCTCTTTTTTTATTTTACTGACACGGCCCCACAGTGCTGACCTGTTGCAGGGTGGCAGCGCACAGCTCGATGGCGATGTACTTGAAGAGGCGGTCTCTCTCCGTGCAGAAGTATCGGATGACGTTCGGGTGAGTGTCCGACTCTCGGAGGAGCTGCACCTCGCGCTCTGCTATGTCGAAACACTCCGGCAGTATTCGCTTCACCGCTACGTGCCGTCCATCGAAATTACCCCTAAAGACGCCAAAACAGAGGGCCATGACACATTATGCACAGTACTGTATGTGCATCACAACAATTTAGTTTACATAAGAAATTAAGTGGGTTGTTTTTATGGTTTAGCCCATTAACTCAAATCTGTGGATATGTTTTGTTCGTACCATTTTCCAGAGTATACCACACCATAAATATTTAGTTTGATTTCCACAATGATACAAAAAACAACTAGGTTTTCTTTACTGGAGACATGTCACAGTCGGAAAAAACATTGAATCCATTTAGCTGCTTCAGTTTCAGGGTCCTGGTGTTGTGCAAGCTGACTCACTGTCACACTGTCATGACTTAATGGGACAAGTAAATAGTGCATGAGTCATCATGAATGCCATTTGTGCTTTTCCTGCTGTGACAAGTCAAAGGCCGATTGCTGAAGCCACACTTTGTTTGAGATCACAGGGACCATTTCGTCACCAAATACTAATACTTATAGAAAGGTTTCTTACACCTGTTCTGCACTTAGCTGTCGTAACAGCGCTGTGTTGAAATGTAAATACTGTACCTGAAGACAAACGTTCCCGCGGTGCCGTGTCCGAGCACCTCAGACGGCGTGAAGGAGATTTTACCCACCTGCACCTCCTCGCTGTTTCCTTCTGAGAGACGTTGGAAGGAAGAATGAAGCAGCAAGATATTCATTTCATCTTAGTGGTGCGGGACAGAAGGAAATTAAACAATTTTGATGTTAAAACGTTACCTGCTGTGGGATTATGCCCGGCGGTGCCATTTTTATCCACATCAGAGGTGCTGCTGCTTTGAGTGTGAGGACTAGGTGGAGGGTCGGCAGGCGGAGTATCTGGATACAGAAAAGTGAAGATTAGCAGTATGATTGGTGTGAATAATATAGTCAAGATTTCTAGGCTTTGAGAAAACCTGCTGCGTCAACACTATTCATTTTAAAAATCCTTCATTTCTCAAGTGCAATGCAAAGGAGGATGTTCATCATTGAACTGGACCCACAGGTCATTAAATACAGGGAATAAAGCATAACAGAGGAACTTTTCTTGGAAGTTACTTACCACTGGAGAGGTTTGTGTCAGTAGAAAGGGCTGCGTCTGAAGAGACCGAGGTCGCCGTCTGGATGTTTGTCTGCATGTGCTGGAGACGAGACTCAAAAGCCTCCTCCAGCCGCCGTTGAGCTTTCAGCTGATGAGCTGCACGCTGCAGAAACACGCACAGATACAGAAGAGTTATGTTAGAAGAGGCAGTTTGAGAGATCCGTGTTGAACGGATACGTTAACATTCATTGACACTCACCGAAACACATTTTCTGAATTCCTTCAAGCCTAACAAATGTGTTGAATGCATTTCCTTGTTTACATCAATGTTTAATAGCCATCGTTCTTCCTTCTTCCCTGCTTTTCTGGTGCATTGCTGCACATTTTGTCATGTTTCTGCCACATACTCAAACCTGATCAGTGGAATAGTGTTAAACCATTTGCAGGACTGTCTATTTATCACTCATTTGTGCACACACGCATGCATGTGCATCCTTGTAAGCGTGCACGACATGAACAAAACAGGGATCCACTCAGAAAAACAAGAACTCCACAGGATGCCTCTGTTCTCCTGCTTGTACCATCACTACTGCTTGATATCGGTGCAGTTTGCCACCTTTTGTTCATATCGTTGAGAATAAAACTGCATCTTAAAACACACAAGCATCACTAGGGACATTTTTAGCTTTTTAATTTGGCTGTGTGGATGCATATGGCATACATTTTGCAAAGGTGTGTGTTTTGTTCTTAGTATTGGAAGTTCAGCCTCAGCTCCTATAATTAACTGTGTCGCCCGTACATAATAAAATGTGTGTTATTTTCATTTAAAAGGGCTGAAATCCTGAAAAGGGTGTGGTAGTTGGTAGTTATGATCAGTTGGTTTAAAAAGATTTATCAGTAAAAGTGGAAAACATTATCTTTAAATAATTGTAGGGCAGTTTTTTGACGTGACATTTTCGTCCTCTGTTTTTGAAACGTTAAAAACACATGCATCTAAACACCAGACAGACATAAGACACAAACTCACAACGGGGTACGTGAGCATGAAGGCCAGCCATCCTCCCAGCAGCAGCGTCAGAACAGCCAGAGTCAGACGGTCCTGAGTCATATAGACGGGCAGCACAGCGGCCGGCCTCTGGGCCTGTCCTGTCGACCTCCCATCAACCCCTCCTCTGTCAGCATTAGTGTCGCTGTGGCTACCAGTAACCACCTGGAACTGAAGGACACAATAAGACAAGCAGGATGAGAAACAATGGAAATATAAGGAGGTTTAATGACTTGTTTTTATCCGCGTTGGTCGTCAATGTTGTCTGTAAAGCAGTTTACAATGAAAGTGGATTTAGTAGTTTATCCCATTATTTCTTCGGTCTCTGACACAGCTGCTGTGATAGACAGCAACAACATAAAGGAAGAGGGTTACTGTCTGATATTGCTGTGATTCACTGATTCTCAGCTGTAGACTGCAGCAAGGACTCACGTAGCGCTGGTGGTAGTAGGAGGCAGGCGAGGCAGAAGGTCGAGGGGGGATGACTGCCTCACCAGAACGCTGCAAGCCGACTGGGAAATCCCTCAGCATGGTGGTGTGAGCCACTGGAGGGAGCTCGTGATGACCTAAAAACATTCAGAGATGAAGCCTTCAAAGCCGCTTGAGTGTCTGTGTTTGTGGTCACTCTCTTTTCTCTCGTCAATAAATCAAAGAGAGGTATTTTCAGTTTTGAGGGAACCTTTCTACTCCAGCCAGAGGTACTGCTTTCATGCTGAACACAAAGTGAGAACACTTAAAATGATTGTGATATTTGCTTGTTTCATCTCAATACTTGACTTGAAATAACTGAAGATATGTTGCCGAATGCCCGGGAAACACAGTCGTCCTCCATCAAGTCACAGGCCTGGAGTGACATCTGCTGGTAAAACTTGATTTGCTTGTTTATCTCTCCCAAACAGAAGTCTAAACAAAGTGACACTCAGTCATGCTGCTGGAGGGAATGTGGATAAACCATGCTTGATCATGCTCATGTTTTCTGGTCTTGTCCCCTATATTCAGACCTTCTGGAAGGAAGTAGCAACAACCACCTCAAAAACCCTGGACATTTCCCTGATGATACCTAAAGACGACACCTACCTCCTACAGACACTGTTGGCAACAAGTAAAAAGGCCAATTTTTGCTTAAAGTCCTTATTCATTAATTCATGCATGTTTTTTGTGCTTTGTGTATCATCCATATTTACAAAATCAATACCTAGTTTTATCTTACTAAACAAAATGGAACTAGTTTTCTATATTTTAGATAAAACATTGGACTGATCCGCTTTTCTGTCTCTGGATTAAGTCACCGTCCAGTTTCAACAGTCAAAGTTAAAATACCAGAACTGAGCACACAGATTTCCTAGCTTTTTAGAATAATTATATACAACATAACTGTAATTTATTCACTTATTATCATCCTACAATAATCCAAAATTAAGGTTTTGTCCATATATCGTCAGTCCACTGCCCTTTGGCCTAAATAAACACAGATTTTCTAAAAAAAAAAACCATGATAGTGACTCTGTGGTTTGGAAACACTTTTTACACAATACACATATTCATAGTTTGTTATGGCTGTAAGGAACCATGAAACTTAGTTGTTGTTTAGTTAGTTAGAACAGCCATCCAGCTGTCAAGAAGTTTTCATTGCTATTGGATGACATCCAGTGTGTGTGTGTGTGTGTGTGTGTGTGTGTGTGTGTGTGTGTGTGAGTGTGAGTGAGTGATATTACCTATTAGCAGCCAGTGGTTTTTCCGGCTGTTTGTGCTTCCTGCTGGATAGCGCACATCAGTGAAAGGTGTGATCTCACACTCCCCTCGCTCACTGACCGTCACTCCGGTCGTCACTGGACCCTCGATTCGGGCCAAGGTCAGTCCCCGAGGCTGTCACAGCAACAAGAAGCACAAACCGGTCACATGTATCAGATCGGGTGTGTCCAACACACAAAAAGATTACATATCTAAACTCACCACTAACGAGACTCCATGGTGGACAAGGGAAGTGGAGGCGTAGAGGTGGGAGTCCAATTTCCCTACATAGAGGGTGGGTCTTAATGAGGAGACAAAGTCAGGTTATTCTCTCAGCCAATTATTGATTTATTATTTAGTAGGATACCTCAAAAATGTATAAAAATATTTGAATCAAATGGAATGAACGGATTGGTCTCAGGACAAGAAATAACTGATTGGATCTTGGGATTGCCACATTAATAATCAATTGAACAGATGATGAAACAGACTAGCTTATTTATTATACTATTGCCACAGGAAATGCTTTGTAGTTTCTGATTGTCTCGCATTGTCCCTTAAAACATATTACCAGACACCTGAAACTTAGTTCCAGCCAACAGTTTAACAAAGTTTTTACCACAGCTTATTCTTTTAGTCTGCAGTGGATGAGTGAGTGTGAGATCTAATACAGCCTGAATAGAGAAAACAACGGACTCAGCAGTTCCTGGTCTCTTGTCCGTTAAATGTGTATGTCAAGACACCTCACTTAACTTAACTTCAATTTAAAGTAAAGTTGTCGGAGCAACTGTTGGCCGAGAGCCTTCTAGTTACCGCTCAGACTGATGCATCACAACGCTGTCAAAGCTCCTTTTTTTGAATGCATGTATTCACAATTTCTCTTACACGAGTTGTGCTTGTGCGCTGGCTTGCTCTTTCACAAACTGATAGCTCCACTTCAATGTCGAGTGTGCGTCCTTCTGTTTGTTGGCAGAGGAGAAGGTGAGGAAGCGCAGCGTTTCTCTAGCCAGCGACAGGTGAGGGGCGTGTCTCAGTGAGTCGCCAGAGTACAGGTAGACCCCTACGACGGGCGACCCATAGTTCTGACTCCACAAGACGTCACCTGGAAGACAAAATACACACACACACAACACTCAAAGTCTTACGAGGAAGAAGAGGTGGAAGTAAAGACAAATAAAAAGGTGACCAGATCTTCACATAGTAAAAACCACACACCTCCCCCTACCTGTCTCTCTGTCAACGGTCACTACGAGACCATCACCACTCGACACAAGATGGGCCATCTCTGGAAGGGCAACAGGCAGCACAGGTCAGTTTTGGACAAGTTGGAATGTCACATCTTTGAGTTGTTTCAAGAGATTTCACATGTTCTCGCAGGTTTCATATGAACAAAGTCTGGTTGTTTTAAATAGAATTATCAAGCTAGAAAGCACTCACATGCATATTTACACATTTTAAATCTATATCTCAAACTAAATATGTAGCAAAATACACTCCGACAGACAATTATGAAATGCATGTCCCAGATTTTTGGTTCAAGTAAGCGCAGTAGTTCTTGAGTAAATAGGAATAAGGTTCAAAATGCTCTATTTCACAATGTTGAGAAATCCTTTGAAGAATTCCTGGAGACAGATCTGTAACAAGCTATGAACGCGATACTTTTATTGGACTAAAATCCTTTGACGGTGTCAGATGGGTGGACATCTAAAAGGTGCTAAATGCGATGTTGAGAGCAGACGGATTACCGCCCCGAGGCTCTCAACATGGTGAAGGCTGAGCCGACGGCTCACAGCTAAAAGCGTAAACAGTGCAAACGACGGCAACAGTGCTGACAAAGCAAACTATGTTAACCCTGAGGGGGGGGGGACCGGAGGTCGGGTGCTAGCTACGCTTTCTCCACGATGCCGTTGGTTGGGACGGCCAGCCCGGATGTGCAGACAAAGAACAGAGAAACTCGGATTACAACTCAAACAGAGGGAGAGCGACTTCCTTCCCTGCTCAGGTAGACATTACTATATGTTTACTTAGCTTGCAGCTATACTGATGCTCTGAATCCTGTATAGAGAATCTTTAAAGTCAAGTAGATGCTTGACAATAAAACAATACTTAGTATTGACTGAAATATTTTATTTTATGACGTGAAGAGACTCCATACAGTACTACTGTAATTCTCCTCAAACCTGTTCTGGACATACAGGTACCCAAATACATTTCAGTTTGCTTATTACAAAGCAGATTCTGTGTTATCAGCTCATATTGACATTGATGCAATCCAGCTAGGTAAGCCTCCATAACTGAATGTGTGTGCAGGGATGTGTGTGAGCAAGACGTACTGTAGTCCTGTTTGTCGTCGTAAGGTGGAGCAGAGTAATCATTGTACGTAGCGTTCCACCGCAGCTCCTGTGTCTTGGTGTCAAACATGGTGACCATGTATTCTGCGGGGAAAACACAGTAATCCAGGAAGCATGAGAATACTGTTCATCGACAGAGTGAAAGATGTCTATTCTGCACTTTGGCGATTTGTTCTGGTCACAGAGAGTTGAAAAATGTTAGTGAGCATGACATACCTGTGCGACCAATGTAGAGCAGAGGAGTGTTCGGGCAGATGGATTCCGAGGAGGAGGTGGTTAAACTGGTTTGCTTCTCGCCCGTCTCAGGATCCACCACAAACCACACATCCTGCTTTTTACCTTCATGTGCACAAAAACACACACACACAGACACAAATATTCACAAACAGCATTGAAGTATGTCAAGTATGCACATGTCTCATTTCTTTCATCTCTCACAAACACACAATGTCTCACCTGTGTAGAGGATACCATCAGAGCTCCTGCAGGGAGCCGACTGAACCAGCTCCGGGATGGTGAAGGGCAGTTTCTGTGGGTACATCCAAACAATGGGGGGGGGGGTCATACAGTGAAACCGACACACTCAAACACACACACACACACACACACACACACACACACACACACACACACA